GGCTTCAAAATAATAATAATTAAAAAATAAAATTTATATATATATAAAAGCACAAATGTAATCATTTTAATATAATGTGTAAGTAACTCTTCAAACTCAGATACATGATTTATTCCTTCCAAAATAAGTGATTTTGTAGTTAGAGCCCACACAAGAGGCTTTTCTAAGGAATATAGAAGTTGCACAAAAATTGAGCATGCTTTTACTAGCCAGTTGTAATTTATCAGGATCAGATCTGGACTGCAACCAGTGTTTCATTCAGTCTTGTAGCTTCATTGTTACCTCTTTTAAATACTCTGGTACATATAAACACCTCTTCACTGTCTGTAAGGGATATCAGGTTCTTAGCACTACCATGTTACGAAAAGTAAAAAAAGATAAGGAAAGAATCTTTTAAAAATATTGAGAATAACTTTTAAAAATGATTATTTATAATTTTCTTTTCAGCACAGTTTAAGTGGTTACCATAGCTGGAATGAATTACAGTGCACTGCCACGATTTTCCAAAAAGGCCCTTCCACCCCAGGAAAAGTTCAGTTGCATTCTGTTTTAATGGTTCTTGGCAAGCTTGCACTATTGTTTTTGTACAAACAGAAGTAAATTTGATATAAATAAAAAATGGAACTTTATGTGAATGAAGCAAACATCAAATTCCTTAATCTTCAAAAGAAATTCTACCCCTGAATAATTAACTATGATATATTTATAAAACTAGAATAATTGAAAACAGAATTCTAAGTTGATTCATGTGGACTGTGCTGAAATATTTATTATTGCAAGTCCAGAAGATCTGTCTGGGTTTTGTCACTGGAAATGTCTAAACTCAGTGTCCAGATGTTTATTTAAGTTGCTCCCACATAGTTCTAATGTCAATTACCAGGGGTTATCAGAGAGCATCACTGTGTATCTTCCTTGACTAATATTCTTATTTCTTCTGCATCTTTGATGTTTTCTTTCATTAAAATTCCTGGCTCACAGCCACAAAAATCTGCCGTGCAGGCAAAAAACTGGTCTGCAGACATGACACATGATGATGCCCAATGTCTGTGCAAGGATAATATTTATCATCAGCTATCATTTAAGCTGTACTATAATCAGTACAATGTCAATTTAAAGCAGCTCAGAGAAATACATGTGAAACCAGGGAATAAGAACTTCTAACCAATATGAAATAACTTGGGCCAGTAAAGAAAATATTATTGCATAAAATAAAGATTTTGTGAATCTGTGTTGGTTTTTTTTTTTTTTTTTCCCTTCAGGAAAAAGCAGGGGGAAAGTCAATGACAAAGTAATTTCACATATAAATACAAATGGAATTGATGGATCTGTAACTCTGGAAACCACAGTTACATTGAGACTTTTCTAGTAATCAGGAGATAATGCAAGCCACTCCTAACAGTGACTTGAACAGAAGAGCTTATCACACATTCCCTGAGGATTTGCTACATTCAAATGCAAATAGTTGGCTAACACAGCTTAGATAGATAGATAGATAGATAGATAGATAGATAGATAGATAGATAGATAGATAGATAGACAGACAGACAGATAGATAGATAATATACATATATATATATCTGTTGCCCAAAGCCAGTTGGTTCACTCTGTAGAAAAATTCTGGAAAGTTTCTTTTTAAAGATTTGTAAGGAAACAGAAGAAAGTCAATGCTAATTCAGTATAAGTGGAAGTAGAGATATAAGATGGCTGGAGAAAATAGTGACGATGCTCCTTCGTGTTTCCACATTAATACCCAGGTACTAACATCAATGTTCCTTGTTCGGTGAGGGATGTTTTTAGTTCTAATTTTAGTTCTAATCGATCAGTGAGAGACAGACACCTTGTGACTTCAATGGATAATGGTCTAAATGACTTGGAAATGTAAATCTCATTAATTATGTAATTTACTTCTCTCCCAACATCATCAGTTTGGGAAAGTGTACCCACCTACCAGACAAAGCCCTAATAGCTAAGCATTTAGCCTTACTGACATCTTCTACAAATGGTGTCACTGCATCTCCAAATTCAGTCATGATTCTGTGTAAGCAGTCAAGAAATCCCATACTTTCTTGTAGAATCACAAGTTTTGTCACAGAATTTGGGCTCATTGCAGCACAGGTTGCATACAACCTGCATGCACCGGGAGAGAAGTGCAGATGATGGATGCAATTCAGAGATGGATGCAGAAGATCACATGCTATCATAACCAGAGCTACAGTACTCTCACCACTGTTTTACTAATCTCTGACTAAATTAAATGTGCATGTTAATAGCATTAAGTAACAACTGAGAAAACATTTTTTTCAGGAAAAAACAAAACCAAAACAAAACAGAACAAACAAACAATCCAACCAACAAACCAACCCAGAAGAAAAACATGGGTAGAAATGCTGCAACTGAAATTTCTATTCAGAAATGTACAAAGAATATCTCCTATCGAGTGCTCAGCTTCAGAGACTCAGAAAAACCTTGGACTGCAACTACTTGCCACATTATACCACTGCCTAGATCTAATAAGCAACTACATTAATACCAGCTGTGTGGATAAAGGGAAGAAATATGTTCATTAAGCATTATGGCCTCACTTATCTCCCCCATGAATTCAGTGGAGAAGTGCCAACTTGTGCATGATGCAATTATGATTCGCAATATCAAACCTGAAAGAAAAGCAATGAGGGTATCATTACAAATTCTCACAAATTTCCCTGTCAAGAAATCTCTCTTACACTTACTGCTGGAGGACACATTCACTCGGATGATTAAAAGTGAAATACTTAGTTCAATGATTCTAGCAAGTTGAAAATCAATTTGCTTCCCACACACATTTCATTGTGTGCCATCTCCTCACATCCAGTAATTGGTTCACAACTCTTATTCACAAATATCCTTGCACACAGAGATTAAACAAAACATGGACCCAATATCCCAGTTCAACAGAGCACTTGCACATAAATGTTCCTAGAGAAATCAAGCTTTGACTTCAATACATGCTTTCATGATTCACCAAATCAAGGGCCAATTTAATAAAATCTTAATAACCAAATGATCAAAACAGTTGCTTTAAACAAGAGATGACTAAATGCCTCTAAAGCTTTGCATACATATAGAATAATAATTACAGTATTTACAAAGGAGTCAAATGGAGTTAAGCACTTATATCCCATGGAAAGTGAACGTAAGTGTAAAATGTTTGGACTAAAAATCAGTCAACATTTGCCTGCCACAATGTCAGCAGTGAAACAGCACTGCAGAAGTATGAGAATAAAACACAATCATTAGCTTACTGAAAAAGAAAAAAATACCACAGCAAAATAAATGTTGTTTTCACACATCTGTCTTTTCTACTTCCCTTTCCCTCCCAGAACGTGGGAGTTCACAACCTAAAAACAAACATTAGGAAACCAGGAAATCTCAGTGGTAATCTCTACACATACCACTGTAAGAACAGTGGACTTGCAACGAAACATGAAGCACCAACTCACGAAAAACACAGTTCAGTTAGCACCTCCCTGGAAGAAGACCACACCATGCAAGACCTACTCCCTGAAAAAACTGTCCTTACAAAACACTTTGGAGAAATTACATTTCTTTCTTATACTGCTCTGAAAAAGAAGCAAGGCTGACAAAGCACCTTTTCCTACAGCAGAGTCCACAGGGTAGGGCACAGCTTCTTCCGACACAGGACTCCCATTCCTTGTCCCCTTTATGCCATTCATTTGATATAAAAGCCCAAGAATTCATTGCAATTCCCCTGGCCCAAGGATACTCCTTGCAGGCACTAACTTGCTAAAAGGCAGAGGATGAGACAGATGCCACTCAAATTAGGCCAAAAATGTAATGAAGAGGGTCCCACTAGAGATCACTTTCACTGGCAAAACCCAGCATGGTACACGACTGAGATTGCAGTCAGCCTTCTGGATCCAGGGAACTGGCTCCGCAAGGGAGCTGCACAAAACAACCAGCCAGACACATCTGCACCTACAACTCCCCGAGTCAGGTCCTACCTCCTCCGCGAGACTGTTAAAGGCTGCCAGCTTGTGGTGTGTCTGCGATATGGAAATTGTCTGCAAGTTCCATACAGAACCCCACAAACTACTGCTTGGGCCTGCTCATGGAGCATGACCAGCTTTTGCCATGGCTTCCTGCTCAAGTTTCAATTCATCAGTCAGTAACATCTGGATATTCTTTTCCCTGACTTCTGCGACTGTGTCCCTGTGACAGGTTCAGAAATTCTACAGTACAGAGCCACAGTTTTCAAATCCTCTCAATTTACAGGCCACATTTCCTCCACAGAGGAACTTGCAGCTTACTGTCACTGAATTTTCTTTGCATAGCCCTTAGAAGCAGTCCACAAGCCATCGGACAGAAAACTACTAACAGAATTGCTGATCTGTCAGCTAGGTCTAACTCTAAAAATCAGGAAAAGCTTATGCATCTTTTCTACCCTTAGTTACTCTTATAGTCCCCCAAAATAATTAAGTACAGCAGCATTGAGGTCTTTCTTGTTTCAAATGTTATTTCCTAAATACTTAACATAGCTTTTTTAGGCTGCTAAATCCTCTAGCTCATGTTATCACCACAGCTGGCAAAACAGATTGCATGTTCTCTCCCTCAAGAAAGGTTACAGCTATGAACAGAAACTTCCGGTGCTTTTCTTCTGTGCAGTTTGGGCATCAGGTTCTCCTAACAGTGCAAAAATCAAGGGACTACAGCTGCCGCTGCACAGATACCTGCCTCACATGCTATAGCTCTTAGACTTGCAGCACACCATTTAAGGTCTGTCTCTGCCATTTTTCAGAACTGCATGATTGACCACCTCTAGGTCTTATGGATCTTTTCTCATCCATTTGCATTCCCAGAAGTTTTCTTTCCCTATATAGCAATTGTTTCCTAACTCCATCTCCAGTATTTTATTTGTGGAGCACTGAAGCAAAAGGTTCTGGTTTTCCCCAAAATTTGACTGCAAACTTTACATGGTCAAAACAAAACATTACTCACATGAGGAACTTCAGAAACATATTATCTTTATTTTCTACTGGGTTAACAGCCCACTCCAATAAAGCAGTCCACTCCCCAAAAATAGAGCAAGGTCCTCAATTCTATGTTTTAAAGTGTTCCGGAACTGGAGAACAGTGAAATACACAACAGCAATACCATACTAGATCAGAAACTTCATTCAGTATGACTAAACTGTTCCATGATTCATCCTCTTATTCTCTAACCTTTTACAAACTTCTGGATTTCACATCCTCCTTAACATGGGACTCTTTACACCTGACTCTTTGCTTTCTAATCACTCACAAAATCTTAATTCAAAGTACATACCTGTGCTCAGAACCTAGGACCAACAAACCCCCATGAAAGCTTCCAGGTTTTGCAGCAATACAAACCCTTTAGCAGTAACTTAAAATTAATACCTTAAGCTTGGTTTTGTATTCATGCAGCACTCTCTTCTACAAGGACTTTTAGCACAGAAAAACACACACAGAGTAAAAAAGTGTGACAGCACAGCCAGTACGAGGACAAGGGTGCTGAACACAGCCAGTACGAGGACAAGGGTGCTGATATTAACAAGGGGGAGAGATGCAAACAGGCCTGGAAGTAGTAACTTATGCTTCATGCAACAACAAAGGGAAAGCCAATACACTTCTGATGCCTCTTGTCCTTAAGCAGCACAACAGACTGAAACAATGGGAGGACTGATGACAGGACCCAGATGGATGAGCAGGTGGTAGCATGGACAACAGTGATCTGAGAGGTGAACTGCATCCACTAGAGAAAAGCACTCCACTGGCCTGTGGAGTCAGAGCCGCACGCTGAAGATGTGGAGAGCAGATCAGATGGGTCATCAACATGGATGCTGAGGTATGACTGTGAACGACTGAGAACATGCCAAAAAATAGTGCTGACAAAGAAGAAGTGATGGTGTGAAGCTGGGAAGATGAAGCAGGAGCACAGAAAATAAAAATAAAACCAGGAAAATCTGGTAAAACAGAGGATATAAGGCCTGGAAGTGGCAAACACCTGCACAGTCTGAAACCAAAATCAGGAATAAGAAAGGAAAACGTCAGTAGGAGGTCAGCTGTGACAAAAACACAAAGACACCTGGGTCACTGTAAGATATTTCAGTGACTGAGGTATTTAGAAGGTGCCAAAGGTACACAGCTGGCATTTAGATGGAGTTACAGAAAGCAAGATAACATAGCAATGGCAGGAGGATACATGACACATGGCAGAGGTTAAATGCAGACGCAGGCAGTGACATGTTGTATGAAAGGGAATGGGTGGTACAAGAATGCAGAATATAAATTTGCTTTAGTGACAGGAGATAAGTCTTATGAGGAAAAGGGAGCAGCAAACAGGTGATGAGAAGCCAATGAACAATGAAAACAAGAAACCTGCAAGAGGAAAGGGTACAAGAAAGAGGCATCACAGATGAGCAACAGATGACCTAGTCAAAAAATACCATGTATTAGCTCAGCAGCAGTTCCACATGTCAAATTGCATTGCCAGGGTATGGACTGCAACACAGGGACTGCCTGGGAGAGCTTGTGGAGCATTTGGGATAGAGTTACCGCCTGCTAGTAAAGTGCTGGACATGCACTCAAGAAGTGGCAGAGTCTTTCATTCCCCATTTCCAGATGATACCGTGCAGCTTTTTGAATGACTCACATCTGGAGCACCCTTGGTTTCCAGAGACACAATTTCTGCAGGAATTATGTACACATCCAGGGAGAGCCTTGCACACACTGCTGTCGCAGCTTCTCAGGAAACAGGTGCTACCAGGCTATACAAGGAATCTCTGAGGTTTGTTTTTTAGAACCGAACTCATACTAGGCTTGGAATATCCTAGAATATCATTGTGAAGTACTTCTCAGGTATGTTCCTTATCTTTCAAAATTCATATTAAAAGGCAGAAAATGTTATTGTAAGGAAGAATTTTTTTATCTTCAAAGAACAGCCAAAACTTCAAAATACACAGAACATTTTCTCCAAGAAAACCAGAGGGTGAATCTCTTAATTTACAGTATCAGACTATGAAAAAATAGTATTCCAAAGTATGAAAGCAGTGTACAAAAGTATGGAAAAACACCAACACGTTTAATAAAAATATTAAAGTCTTCAGATTAACTGGAACTCTTGATGTGCTTTGCAGTAACAACCAAAAATTAAACAGCAGAGCCCCTTAAAGCCCAAATAGAATGTGAGTTACAAAATCATTTTAAATTCTTACCTATTTAAAACATAAGGGCAGAAAGTGTTATTTTAAAGTGCAGGCACAGAAACAAGTACTCATGTAATAAGAAGCTAACATACAGTCTAACTGTCACGTATTTATTGTAGCTGTCCAGACATGTATTTTCACCATATGGTAAAAGCAAGATAATCTTAAATAGATAAAAAGTATCTCAAATTTATACAAGAGTTTTCATACAGGCGGGCAGTTCACAGGCACCTTAGCTTACTTTATAGACATGTGTGCTGATGCTCTTTGCAATCACATCTCTGTGCAAAAGAAACCTTCTCTTGTAGATGATCCATCATAGCCTACAAAAACACGTTAAAGAGCTCGCTCTGATGTAGCTGAAAACTATGGGGCATTCCATAAGCATTAACTGCCCCAAGTGCTCAAAAAATGGTCCCCAGATAACACTAGGGTTACCACTTAATAATACTTATATTTATGAGGTTTATATTGAACCCTTCCCGTATCTGCAATGTTAAAATAATTAAAAAAAAAAAAATTACTAGATCAAGCATCCTCAATATCCAGGTTTGGGTTTTAAGAAGTACTGCATAAAGATCAGTTACGTGGCTCATCCTCAGACATCCCTTCTTGAATTCAGTCCTCTGATGAAAAATAATCTTCATCTCTCACTTCTCTGTACTGCATTGAGGCCTCCCCCTCTGGTTCAAACCTGAGCATTTTTATATTCAATCTCTCTGCAAGCTTCTGTGCTGCAAGCTTGGCTTGCATTTCCTATATAAAAGAAAAAAAAAATAAAATAAAAAGGACACAAGTTAGAAAAAAGCGTTCACTTGTCATTTTTATCCAGGTCCTGAAAAAACTAATATACTTAAGTATGAACTTGACATAATAACATTAGGAATTCCAAAGTGGGCTTCTTTTCACACTTATACATAACTGTGCTATTAATACTTGAAGACCATTTTATGAGAGTTTTAATTCCCCATGTGGCAGTCCTCACCTGTGACACACTCATGTCAGCTTTAACAACAAAATTAGTCCACATGGAAGAACAGTTGTGCACAGTAACCATGTAGCAATAGCAATGCTTGTCATTCAATAACGTCAGCAAAAAACCTGTCTCCATTTTCCAAATAAATTGCCTCCCTTAAAGTGTTGAGATGACTAAATTAGCAAGTGCTTTTAAAACAATAAACAGCAACAAACACTTTTACAGTAATGCCTAATTTAAACATTAGCTTGGCACTACCTGAAAAGTCAAAATCAAAATCCGTTACAATAGAATTTGAAGAACCTCAGAACTCACATTCTTCAGGCACCACATAAATAAAGGCAAATGCAGATACTTGCATGTTTTAAGAGTAACAAACACTGCTGGGCCTTCATTTATGCAAGGGCCATAAACTCTTTAAAGACTAAAAGGAAAGGTATACATTTAAATTTCTAGTCAGAGGTGGAGTGAGTGCAATGAGGTTAGAATATCAACACATGAAAAATAATACTAGATTTTGTTTAATGCAACAATAACAGTTTCAGAAAGGATTAAGACATTATTTAATTATATCACTAAAAGAATCAAATACAAGAAAAAGTGCCTTTACTCAAAGTCTGCCCATCTCAATTTCATCATTAAATTCATCAGTATGAAAAGATACCTTTACGCTTTCTTTTTTAGGAGTGATCCCAATTATATAATTACTTTTCAGACCAAATTGTAAATTCATACCTCGTAAACTTCTTTTTGCTGTATCTGAATGGCTATGGATTCCTCTATGGATAATAGCTTAGCAGGGGAATGGTGAAGCGGTGGTAGCCGAGCTGCTGTGATGTCATTCAAATGTTTCTTATCTCTAAATCGTCTTTCTTCAGTAGTAATTGGAGAGCCAAATCCCCCAGGTGACTGACTGGATGAAGAACCATATGATGATCCACTTTGCTCTCCTGATAATCTGGAAGAGATAAAACATAAAAATCGCGCTGCAAATTTGGTACAAAAAAAGCTACGCCAATTAATTAGCAAGCATGAAATAGTAATGCTTTCAGAGTCACACAAAATATAAACTGCTACTGCTACCAGTACAATGTGAATTGTAATTTCTCAAGAGGTGCAGGAAAAGGAAAAGGCTACCTGCTATTAAAGTTCTACAAGTTATAGAACTGATGCACAAAAAAGTTTTGCCAATTGTTTAATAGTTTTGTAGCTTAAGCTATGAAACTCTATGAAGATTCATAACAATTGTTTCAAATGGGTGAAATTAGACCACTGGTCAGCACTGAGATTCTGTGACAATGCCTGAAGAACCAACATATTAACCTTGCATGTCACATGACTTTAAATCTCTTTAATCATCACAAGAAAATAAATCCACCATGCTTGCTCTGTGCCATTTCCAATTTTATACCAGTCAATTATTTCACAAAAGGTTTTTCTATTCTATAATACTTACACATTTGTTTTAAATTTGCTTTTTTTTACAACTGGGTTCTTGGCTCTAGACTCTAGAACTTCAATATAATGTGGTGTCTTGGGTTGCAGGCTTCCAAGGATACTGCCCTTATGTTTAGCCACATTCTGCTCTTTTTCCAATACTTTTTCCCTATTATCCCCATCTGCAATTGTAACTTTTTGAAAGGCATCAACGAACGCATCTTTACTGCTGTCCAAAGCTCCTGCACCTTCCGCATCATCCTCAGCATTGCTCTGAGATACCTGATGATCACTTTTCAGATGACTGCTCATGGCTGACTTGGAGATGACTTCACAAAAAAGATTCTGATCTTTTGCAACAGTCTTTACTTCATCATTTTTCCTCCGAGTCCTTTGATTTCCCAGAGCTGTATTTGTGGCATCCTTCTTAATACACTCTGTCTCCTGCCTTTGGGAAAAAATCTCAGAAACTTCTTTAATAGTAGAGTTTTCATTAAAGACTGAGGAACCTTCACAGTTCAGTGTGTCCTCCTTTAGGATAACTTGCTGTTTGCTTGTATTAATCTCCCCCTGTTTCACCTGAAACTCCAATCTGACAGCAGATAACAGCTCAGCCGTCCTTGCTACCTCTTCCTCTTGTAAAATGGCAAGCTTCAGCTTTTCAACAAAATCGGAGATCTTCTTACCCTTATCTGGAAGCCTAGAAATGAATTTACTAAAACAAAAAAAAAACCAGTTTATTTAATAGGGTATAAAGAATTCTATTTCAATCTGAGATACAGAGCTGTTTTATTAGAATAGTTAACGTGGCAGGTTTCTCACTCTAGCAGTAAGTTTCTTATTTACATGTGAAATTTCTATTTCTGAAAAGTAGTAAGATGGAAAGCACTTGCAGCCTCAGATGCATACTGTGATAAAACAACTGTTACATTTCTTTCTGCTCAAAGATGTAACTGCAGCTCTGAAAAGTGCAGAGTGGATGTATTGTTTGTTTAGCATTCTCACCGAAATGTAGTACAGCGATTTTCCTGTCCATATTCCCAGAAATAACCACACACTTGTTTCTGTGAATGCCCACGGGCTGCAAAAACCGCCCAGCCGTGTGTACCTTGGGGAACATCCCTCGGCCGCGACGCTGACAACCCCCCCGGGAAGGGCCCGCGCTGTTCCCCGGCCCCAGCCAGAGAGAGAAGCTGCAGCGAGGCCGGGCGGGGACAGCGCCGCGTCCCCAGGGAGCTGGAAGACCCTGCGCGGCACATGCGGCTCCATCAGCCCCTGGAAGAGTTAAACAAGAGGCCGAGGTTTGTCCGCCGCCGCCGGCGGGCGGCCCGACTCGCCGCTCTGCGCCCGCGCTCCGCCTCTCCTCACCGGTCCGCCAGCAGCCGCTCCTGCCGCCCCAGCATCTCCCGCAGCTCGGGGAGGCTCCGGCCCCGCAGGCCGCCACCCCCGCCCGCCGCCGCCGCCGCCATTCCGCCCCGCGCCGCCGATCACCGCGGCAGCCGCCCGGGCCCGGCGCCGCTTCCGCACCTCCTCGGGGGCCGCCATCTTACCGGAAGCGACGGCAGCGCGGCAAGGCCCGACCGGTCGGAACGCGAAGGCCAACACGGCCGCTGCGTGAGGGGAAGGCCCCGCCCCCGCCGTGAGGGCGGCGAAGCGCGGCAGCCACCCCCCCGAGTAACGGAGGGGACGGGGATTTCACCCCAGGCCCCAGGCGCTCGTTCTGATACATTCACACAAGCCTAAAATAACTTCAGACACTTGTTTTTTTGTCCGCTCCAGCAGTTGTGGCGTAGGGCGGAGAGGAGCACACGCCAGCCTCCCCGCGGAGGGAGTGGGGGCGGACAGGCTCCGCAGCGCCAACATCTGAGTTCCGTGCAACAAAACCCGTATTTCGGAAATTGATGTAGCATTCAAGAAACGTGTTTCACGTTGGACTAGGTGTAAGAAGTTGTGCAGAGCACAGGCAGAGTGCTGTTCCTGAACTCTGCCCTCTCGGTATGCTCAAAAAGCTGCAAAAGCTTAAACGTTTCTTACATTAATTATTTTGCATTATCATTGACAAAAGCCATGCCATTTTCATGTGTTGGAGTATCTTTTAGGACAGTGTCAATTCCTGTTTAGGACGCAAGGCTTACTTTTCAGAGATTTGTTAGAAATTTTCTTTACATAGCGTTTACTTTTTAACGTTTATGTACAACATAGAGACTGAATGTAGAAATTCAGGCTGTAGATTAACATTGGCCTGCTTACCCCAAACTTTCCTGATACAAGTGCTATGAGCTTTAGCAAGTCCACTCTATCTAGCAGTAAAAAGGTCATTAGCTGAAGGGTAGTTCCCAGGTGGCAGATGTCAGCCTTTTTAAGTTGATCCCAGTGGAGGTTTCTCAATCCAAGTAATAGTAAAGAGGCATATTTCTCAGAGATTGTTAAAACAGTTGGTTTATGAACAGATGAACAGAGGGCCTACCCCGGAGGGACCGGAGGAGGAAGCGGTTTAAAATGGCTGCCCGCCCCTTTGTTTGCGCAGCTGGACATTGAATGGAAAGGCAGAGGGCCAGGGGAAATGAGATTAATCAAGTAGGCAGCTACCCATGGAAAAATATACCATGATCAGGGTGAGAAAAGCCAAGTTAAGTGACTAGTTGAGACTGTTTCACTGTCTGTTATGCACAACCTGGATCATCTGTGGAAAATCCCTCAGGGAGTTTTCCCTAAGAGTTCAGGGAAGAGGAAGTCACTGAGTTTTTCTCACCAAGAGATCACCCACTGTTAAAGGACATAAATTCTCTGAATTGCTGCCTCTGTAATGCAGGCTTCAGTTATGCCACCTATGCAACATTTCTGCATCTTACAAGAAATAACATCTTCCTTTTTAGCCTCTTTCTCCTGTGCAGATTGGAGAAAGTGGGAAGGCTGGGCATGGAAGCAGAGCACCACTTCTGCCAGCATGGAAGTGAGAGTCTAGAAGGAATGATCTCATTAGACCACTGCTCTGTACTTCCACGATAATGGTTCATCTCAGTTCAACTGCTGTTAGTACATGTACAGAATACAGAAAAGTAATGCTAGTATTTACAGCAGGTTTCAGCTTATGTGCTGAACTGCATAAACACAGAAAAATAGAGCAAAAAATGATGCGAAAGTCCTAAATAACATGACTGCTAGGAATCACAACTGATCATTCTGTAGCCTCACTTGGAATACCATTCACTAAGTCTGTTTGTCCAAGGTCACTGGGAGGGAACACTGTTCATCTTTACAGTTTGGGAGTGTTAAGTTTTGGAACATCATAGTCTGTTTATAGGTAACACACAGTTCCAGAATGATGAACAAATAGCTGAAATTTAGAAGGTGCCAGAACAAATATATTCTTGATTATGGAGACATAGGCAGCAACTAGATACAATGCAATCTAGATAGTATCAATGTAGATACAAATGCAAAGAAGGAAAAATAGATGTAAGCTTTCCCAGTCAAGGATGAGAAGTATGGAGCGCTTGTGGGAGTGAGGAAAATTATATACTAAGTCATTGCTTGCCCTGAGGTGAAATACCAGTACGTTGGAAAATCCTCACTAGCCTCACTCTGAATATGAGTAATTACCATCCAGCAGTATCTACTGCAAGTTTAGTCTTAGGACTTTGCTCTTGTTTCTCTTGGGTGACTGACAATCATTATTTGCAGTGCACAGTCATATTTTTATAATTTTCCTCAGAGCATCCTTGGCCTTTGTGATTAGAGGCCTTATTTTGTATCACTTCCTTGAATATTTTGATCAGCATTCATGTGAGCTAAGTATATAACAAAACTGGAGTTTTTATTATGTCTTACATAATGGGCTTTCCTATGTTTCTCACTTAGGACGTTATCTCAAGAGCTATTATTAGATACAGTTTTCAGTCAGTCTGTTTTCTGTCACTAGATATCTAGAGCTAAATATAATTTATTCTGCAATAGCACAGCTGGAATTACTATGCAATTTAATATTATTTCTACAAGAAAATGAAATTATTAGAACGGCAATGAAGAAGAAAATTGAGTATACTAACAAAAAAGAACAAACCCCATGAAAAAAACAACACAAAGCAAGGCGTGACCCAGGAGTATTCATCTTCATCTATAGTATATCTAAAAAGAAAGGTATTCGAATAACTAACTTATTCAAGCATAGATTTTAAAAGTAGATCGCACCAGTTATGAGGAACATTGCAACAAACATTTGTGTCTGAATTTTTAGTATTATGTTTTATCAATGCTGGTTATGACTAAGCTGATGTATTCTAGTCATGTGACATTTTGGGGGAGGTGACCATTAAGTACAACTGGCTGAATTTTTTCAGGTGGAAAACTTTCCTGTCAGAAATACCTGAGTCTGCCCAAAATCCTTATTGAAGCTAACACTCTCGCTTCTTTTCTGTTAAAGGTGTTATTTACATTGTCCTTTTCTCCTTTCTTCAACTTTATGAATACATAAATGTTATGTCTTTTCACTAGGAAAAGGGGCAAAATAGACTTCAGAATATAGGTTTTGAGGGCGGAAAAAAACCCTACTTTTACAGTTTCTCTGCTCCTAGATGAAAGTATTGAGGGGCAGGAGGAGAGAAATCGAATCACACATACAAAATAAATCACCCCTAGAATAACAGAAAAAAAAATGGTGTGACTATTTGGGATTGACATTAATAATTTAAATTTCACTTAAAAAAACTTTAAAAATGAGCATGATGCACCTTTGTAATAATTTTATTTTCCTTACAGAAAATAACTCCTTCCCTAAACTTATTTCTCTAAAAAAGCCTCAAAAACTTTAAAAGCAATCCTATATATGTTTATATCTATCAACATACTGTTTTACATACAGGAAGCAACTGTCAGATTACTGTAGTATGCCTACATACCACACACATCTCTACAGGATATCGCAACCTCATAGATGTTCAGTTCTATGTGTCTTCTCTTTAATTCACCAGGTACCTTTTTCTTTTGAAAATTTTCACATACCTTAAGTTGTAGTTGGCTTCTCTCACCTTGTTTTCCTGTGTTTCTTCCATGTTCTAGTGCTTGAGGTAGGGCTGAAGGGGCCTTAACTCATCAGGTCTCTTAAACACATTTCTTCTTTTACACATGCAAATAGCCTCAGGTGCTGAATAGGAATTAAATAAAATGTAAGTGGAATGAAACTCTCAATATGCACGCCTCCATTCTGTGGAGCAGGGATTTCCTGTACAGAATTACAGACTTAATGTGAAGAGAACTTCTTACCTATTTGCTCATCTGTCCATATCTAAGAGCCTTCAGATGCCAAAACAAGAATTTAAAGCCTCTCCGAAAAGCATTAGTATCCAACTCCCAGAATCCTATGTTGTAGGTTCAGCCCTGAGAATTGCTGATCTTAACAAGATTTTATGAGGTCCTTTTGGCAATCTGTACTGAATACACATACACAGGGAAGCATTACTCAAGTAAAAAACTTCACCTTCTTCATCGGAGCATTGTGAACCAGGAACGCTGTAATTGTCATGTTTCCATAACCTCCTCTTATTATTTAGTTGACATGTAGATTGTTCCATTGTGACAGTCTTTAAAGATAAATCTCTTCTATCAGTAAGTGGATATAAACTGTAGAAAAGATGGGCTACAGTCATCCCAATCTCATCATGCTGAGGCCTGGAGAGCATAATCCCCGATGTATTTATTCAAATGTTATCTGTGGGA